CATTCTTTTTCCAGTAGGTTCTTGTGGGTTTTTTCGGGCTATAGAGCCATGCTCTAGAGGCATTTCTCCTGACGTTTCGCCTGCATCTATGGCAAGCATCCTCAGAGGTAGTGAGGTCTGTTGGAAGTAGGAAAAATGGGTTTATATATCTGTGGAATGGCTGGGGTGGGGCAAGGAGCTCTTCCCTGCTGCAGTTAGGTGTGAATGTTTAGCTGATCACCTTCATTAGCATTTGAAGGCCTGCCTGAGCCTGGGAAAATCTGTTGCTGGGAGGTGTTAATCTGTGCCTGGTTGTTTCCTCTCTGTTGTTTAGCTGTTATAATTTTAGAGTTTTTAATACTCGTAGCCAGATTTTGTTCATTTTCATGGTCTCTTCCTTTCTGTTGAAATTGTCCACATGCTTGTGGATTTCAATGGCTTCTCTGTGTAGTCTGACATGGTGGTTGTTGGTGTGGTCCAGCATTTCTGTGTTCTCAAATAATACGCTGTGTCCAGGCTGGTTCATCAGGTGCTCTGCTATGGCTGACTTCTCTGGTTGAAGTAGTCTGCAGTGCCTTTCATGTTCCTTGATGCGTGTCTGGGCGCTGCGTTTGGTGGTCCCTATGTAGACTTGTCCACAGCTGCATGGTATACAATGGTAGACTCCTGCAGAGGTGAGAGGATCCCTCTTGTCCTTTGCTGAACGTAGCATTTGTTGGATTTTCTTGGTGGGTTTGTAGATTGTTTGTATGTTGTGTTTCCTCATCAGCTTCCCTATGCGGTCAGTGGTTCCCTTGATGTCTGGCAGGAACACTTTTCCTCTGGGTGGATCTTCGTCTTGACTCTCGTGGCTTCTTCTCGGTGGTCTTGCAGCTCTTCTGATGTCTGAGGTGGAGTCTCCCTTGGCCTGGAGAGCCCAGTTGAGGTGGTTCAGTTCATCTTGGAGGAGGTGGGCTTCGCAGATTCTTTTTGCACGGTCTGCCAAGGCTTTATTTTTCCGTTGGGGTCGGGCGGTCCCTCCATCCCCGCAGACGGTGAGGGCTTCCTGAATTGGGTCCAAGGAACTACCCGTGCCTCGTTCCTTCTTGATCATCGCATTCCCAATCCAAAACAACTCTGTCTTCATATGACCTTAACCAGGTTGGAATGCATTTTAGTCCAATCTTTCTAGAATATGCCACAGAAGATAAAACGTCCCAACTCAGTGCTTGCATTTCCAACATTTAGAAGAGTTATACATAGGCCGTCCAGTAAAATGGGAGGAATGGGACAAATGTGGAGCCACAAATTGAAATATGCACACATATGCCTATTATCTCAAAGAAAATTGGTACAAACTGATGTACCCATGGTCTAGAACATCACAAAAATTAGGAAAAAATGTATAAAAACATGCAAAATAAATGCTGGGAATGTGAAACCAAGGAAAGCCTTTTCTACCATGCGTGGTGGATGTGCAGGAAAGCAAAGGAATATTGGAAGGAAATTAAAGAAATATTCCAGAAAATACTTAACACAAAAATACAAATGAAGCCAAAATACGTTTTATTGGGAATAACAGATGTGGATGGAGACACAGACACATACTTTTCAATTATTATTATTAACTTTATTTGTACCCTGCTAAATTATTTAGTAACAGCAGCAAAAATAGTACATGCAAAGAGCTGAAAACTCCCTCAATGGATCAATTGAGCCTTATAAAAATAATGGACACTATGAATAGGGACAAACTAACTCAACCAGGAAAAAAACAGATTGGAATCTCCTCCAAGATTGTATGACTCAAGAGAGAAGGAGAATGGCAATATAGTCCGATCCAAAGAGACAAAGAGGAATTGCTCCACAAGGAAGAGGAACGAACAGGAGACGCATATCGTAAAGAAGATAAAGAGAGATGAAGGACAAGAACTGAACCACAATGAAGAAGACTGGAAGACCCTCCACTTCCTCCCCCTTCTCTTCTTCCCCCTCCCCAACTCCCCTCCCCCCTGCCCATTTCCCCTTTTCACGTTCTCATTTATCTGTTTAGTATAAGTACATAAAGTGAATCTGGATAATTTTTAAAGGAGTTATTTTGTATTTCTGTCTGCCAGGGCAGGTGATCCCATTGATGCCTTGTTCGATCCCTGGAACGCAGAGGTGGCAAGGGCAGTCAATGCGACCCCTCTGAAGCGCCCTATGGAAAGTGGGGGCTTGTTTGAGAAATAGAAATCCCACCAAGCTTAATGGAATGTGAGGCTTCTCTGTTTTAAAAGCCCCAAAACAAAAGCTGCCTAAGCTGGAACTTTCTTCTGGCTGAAAACCTTTTGAAAGAACCCTCTGGCCACTACCAACTTAAAAGCACTGATAAGCCCTTGGCCTACTGGAAGTATCTTAGGCAAGAGTGTGTTGGACTAGCCCTCAGGCTTGTGTTTCTGAGGTCACACTAAAAGATTGTTCTTTCAGTTATATGCTGCCACCATAGACTCTTGTTTGCTGCAGTTCACTGCTTTTTAAAAATTCACCCACAGAGGCATACGTGAGGCAGATGTCGTGAATAACAAAACAATGATGTTTATTTGAGAGAACTGGAACAAAATAGGTATTAAGCTTAGTTGGTTTGAAATATTGTCTTAAAAGTGGCAGGCTCAAACCCAGCACCTCAACCAATGGAGGACTGGGTGACTTGGAAGGCGCTGAACAGACTGCGTTCTGGCACCACGAGATGCAGAGCCAACCTTCAGGAATGGGGCCACAAAGTGGAATCCTCGACATGTGAGTGTGGAGAAGAGCCAACCACTGACCACCTGCTGCAATGCACCCTGAGCCCTGCCACATGATGCACAAGGGAGGACCTCCTTGCAGCAACACCAGAGGCACTCCAAGTGGCCAGATACTGGTCAAAGGACATTTAATAGAATACCAAGCTTGCAAACTTTGTGTTTTGTCTGTCTGTTTGTTTGTTCTGTTAGAAATGTAATACAATTGACTGGTTGCCCTGACACGACCAATAAATAAATAAATCTCATATCTATGCTTATAATACTAACACATTCAATGTACTGGCATCTACTACACAGAATACTACGTGCAATTCTCTAAACCAAAAGAGTTCCTTATATGGGATAAACAACTAATTCTTACAGCAAAATGCACAGGTTTGTGGGTTCTTTTTGAAAACCAAAAGTTTATCAATAACAAATCAAAGTTTGTAAGTCTTTCTTTTCTTTTCTTTTTTGCATGCCTCTTAATCCGGAGCTTCTTGGTGTGGGCACACAGCTGATTCCTACAAGTTTGTAAGTCCTTATTTCAGACCAAAGTTTGTCAACAGCAAAACACAGTATATCAGTCCTTTTTTAGAATCCACAGTTTAAGTAAACTCTTAAACAACCAGTTTAAGAGACTTGCAAAAAAGACTTACAAGACTTTGATTTGTTATTGATAAACTTTTGGTTTTCAAAAAGAACCCACAAACCTGTGCATTTTGCTGTAAGAATTAGTTGTTTATCCCATATAAGGAAATCTTCTGGTTTAGAGAATTGCATGTAGTATACTATGTAGTAGATGCCGGTATGTGTTGAATGTGTTAGTATTCTAAGCATAGATATGAGCTACATTATTGTGAGTCTATAATGGTATTATTTTTGGGTCTATAGTGGCCCTCCGCCTTTTTACTCCGGGGCTCTGTTCTGTTCCCTTCTTTTAAGACTCTTAGCAGACAGAGGCACTTTGAGGCGAGGCGAAAAGGTAACAAAATAAATTTACTGAAAGAAGAGGAATGAAGAAGGGTTAACTCCACCTGGGACTATCCTGAGGTAACTCAAAACCACACCCTGCTAATTCTCCTGGACACCTCAGTGGCTTTCAATACCACTGACCATGGTCTCCTCCTGGAAGGCTCAAGGGGATGGGGCCAGGAGGCAGTGGTTCTGGTCCTTCCTCGCAGACCGGTCCCAGAAGGCGGTCTTGGGCGAGTCCAGGCTGTGGGGTCCCGCAGAGCTCATCTTTATCCCTGGTGTGATTTAACATCTACCTGAAACCACTGGGAGAGATCATCTGTACGTGGATGATGCCCAGCTCCACTACTCCTTCTCACCTGATGCCAAGGAAGCGGTCCTGCCCTTAAACCATTGCCTGAGGGCAGCGATGGACTGGATGAGGGCGAACAAGTTGAAGCTCACTGCAGACGAGTCAGAGGTATTACTGGTGCCTTGGAGGCAGCATTTCAACCTGAGCTAGGTGGGGTTTGCGCTCCCCCTGAAATCTCAGGTGCACAGTTTGGGGGTCGCTCTAGACTCCACTTTAAACCTGGAAGCCCAGGTGGCAGCGGTGACTGGGTTGGCCTTCCCCCAATTAAAGCTTCTGCACCAACTGTGCCAATTCTTGAAAACTCTGGACCTGACCTGAGTGATGCAAGTGTTGGTTACATCCAGACTGGACTACTGCAAAGCGCTCTATGTACGTCTGCCTTTGAAGTTTTCAGAAATTACAGTTCATCCAAAGAGCGGTGGCCAGTCTTCTGACGGGTGCCAACTTCAGGGAGCATACTATGCCTATCCTGAAGCAACTCTATTGGTTGTCTGCATGGTTCCAGGATCAATTTAAGGTGCTGGTCATTACCTATAAAGTCCTATACGGCTTTGGTCCAGCCTACCTGGATCATTATGTCCCCCAACACATCCCAGGGTGCATCCCTTAACCCACCCCTAACAAGATCCAGCGGTGAAACTCAAATTGCCACGTGAGCCCCCAACAGGATGCAGCTCCGCACTCTGGAACCCCCCCCCCCCCGAAGATCTAAGAGCTGCTCCATCTCTTCTCAGTTTTAGGAAAGGGGTTATTTTTTTATTTAACAAGGCTTTTAACTGAACGATGGGAGGAGTTTAGCAATTTTAATGATCGGGATATGCATGGGGGAGGAGGCTATGGTTTTACCTGAGGTTTTGGTTTTTATGGATTGATGTTTTATCATGGTTTTACCATTTTATGTATTCCTGATTGAAGGATTTTGACTGGTATACTGTTTTGTAAGCTGCGGAGAAAGATGGGGTAGAAATATCCTAAATAAATACATATGTTAGAAAGACTTTCCAGTGTGGATTCTATGATGTTTATGTAGACTGTGACTCTGTGAAGCTCTTTCTGTACTCCTTGCATTTATAGGGTTTCCACCTCAGTCTGAGTCCTTTGATGTGAATGCAGATAGACATTCCGAATGAAGCTTATTCCACACTCTAGACATTTTTACGGTTTCTCCCTAGTGTGAGCCCTTTGATGTGAACGTAGACAGTTAATATTAGTGAAGCTCTGCCCACACTCCAGGCATGTATATGTTATCTCCCCAGTGTCAGTCCTTTGATGTGAACGTAGACTTCCACTCTCAGTGAAGCTCTGTCCACACTCCAGGCATTTGTAAGGTTTCTCCCCAGTGTGAGTCCTTTTATGTGAAAGGAGATACCCGCTCCTAGTAAAGCTCTGTCCACATTCCAGGCATTTATAGGGTTTCTCTCCAGTGTGAGTCCTTTGATGTGAATGTAGATTGCCTTTCTGAGTGAAGCCTATTCCGCACTCGAGGCATTTATAGGGCTTCTCCCCAGTGTGAGTCCTTTGATGTGAACGTAGGCTTCCACTCTCAATGAAGCTCTTTCCACACTCCAGGCATGTGTAGGGTTTCTCTCCAGTGTGAGTCCTTTGATGTGAACGTAGATGTCCCTTCTGAGTGAAGCTCATTCCACACTCCAGGCATGCATAGGGTTTCTCCCCAGTGTGAGTTCTTTGATGTCTATGCAGACTTCCACTCTCAGTGAAACACATTCCACACTCCATACATTTATAGGGTTTCTCCCCAGTGTGAGTCCTTTGATGTGAACGTAAATTCACATTCTGACTGAAGCTCATTCCACACTCTAGACATTTATAGGGTTTCTCTCCAGTGTGAGTCCTTTGATGGCTACGTAGACTTCCACTCTCAGTGAAGCTCTGTCCACACTCCAGGCATTTATAAGGCTTCTCCCCAGTGTGAGTCCTTTGATGTGAAAGTAGATGTCCACTCCTAGTGAAGCTCTGTCCACATTCCAGGCATTTATAGGGTTTCTCTCCAGTGTGCGTCCTTTCATGTGACTGTAGGTTTCGCTTCTGAGTGAAACTCTGCCCACATTCCAAGCATTTATAGGGTTTCTCCCCAGTGCGAGTCCTTTGATGTGTCTTCAGATGTCCATGCTGACTAAAGCCCTCTCCAGATTCAATACATTTATAATCTTCATCCTCCATTTTGATAGTGTTATGTGCTTTGAATGCGATTTTCCCGCCTTTTGCCAGGGAGTTGGACTGGATGGCCTGCGAGGTCTCTTCCATCTCTATAATTCTATGATATGTTTTGCAAGATGGACACTCGATTCTTGTTTTTCCCTTTCTGATCTACAGCGTGATCAGCACCTTGAGAGGATTTCTTTTTCCTATAGGACTAGTTTCCTTATTGCTCTTTGGTGTCCAAATTCCTCAATATCCACTAGAAGTTGGTTTGTTTCTTGTCACACCAGAGGTGGCTCCTCATTACCTGGTCAAGAAAGAAGAAATAAAAAGATAAACATATATAGCCCGAAAAAACCCACAAGAACCTAGTGATTCCAGCCATGAAAGCCTTCGACAATACAGATCACACAGTGCTACAAGAATGAGGACTTTAAGATATTCTTATTAAATATAAATGGACTAAATGAGAAGAATAAATTCATTCATTATTTGGGAAGTAGAAAAATGCTGATATCATAGCAATGCAGGGGACACACATTAAACAACAGGCCAGGAAGGGAAATTTCTAATGATAATGACAGAATTACAAACAATACTCATTGTCAATATTAATGCTTCAAACAATGCCAAAGGTCCTTTCTTTGAAAAACTTTAGAAAGACATGAAAGATCTTGAGCATACGGGTATGGTTATTCTGAAGGGAGACAGCAACTCTATTGTGGGTTTCAATATGGATAAGAAAACCTATAAAGCCAATTCAAGAGAATCAAGAAAAGTTACCAAAAATCTCTGGAATATCATAGAATCAAAGAGTTGGAAGAGACCTCATGGGCCATCCAGTCCAACCCCATTCTGCCAAGAAGCAGGAATACTGCATTCAAAGCACCCCTGACAGATGGCCACCCAGCCTCTGTTTAAAAGCTTCCAAAGAAGGACCCTCCACCACACTCCCTCCGGGGCAGAGAGTTCCTTCCTTCCTTCCTTCACAATCAGGAAGTTCTTCCTCATGTTCAGATGGAATCTCCTCTCTTGTAGTTTGAAGCCATTGTCCCATTGCGTTCTAGTCTGCAAGGAAGCAGAAAACAAGCTTGCTCCCTCCTCCCTGTGGCTTCCTCTCACGTATGTATACATGGCTATCATATCTCCTCTCAGCCTTCTCTTCTTCAGGCTAAACATGCCCAGCTCCTTAAGCCGCTCCTCATAGGGCTTGTTCTCCAGACCCTTGATCATTTTAGTCGCCCTCCTCTGGACACATTCCAGCTTGCCAATATCTCTCTTGAATTGTGGTGCCCAGAATTGGACACAATATTCCAGGTGTGGTCTAACCAAAGCAGAATAGAGCATGGGGAGCATGACTTCCTTAGATCTAGACACTATGCTCCTCTTGATGCAGGCCAAAATCCCATTGGCTTTTTTTGCTGCCACATCACATTCCTGGCTCATGTCTAACTGGTTGTCCACGAGGACTCCAAGATCTTTTTCACACGTACTGCTCTCGAGCCAGGCCTCATTGTCCCCCATTCTGTATCTTTGCATTTCATTTTTTCTGCCAAAGTGGAGTATCTTGCATTTGTCACTGTTGAACTTCATTTTGTTAGTTTTGGCCCATCTCTCTAATCTGTCAAGATCGTTTTGAATCCTGCTCCTGTCCTCTGGACTATTGGCTCTCCCTCCCAATTTGGTGTCGTCTGCAAACTTGATGATCCTGCCTTCTAGCCCTTCATCTAAGTCATTAATAAAGATGTTGAACAGGACCGGGCCCAGGACGGAACCCTGCTTGGGCACTCCACTCGTCACTTCTTTCCAAGATGAAGAGGAAGCATTAGTGAGCACTCTCTGTGTTCGTCCACTTAACCAATTCAGTTCCACTTAAATTCATTCAGTTCCATTCAGGACGGAACCCTGGTCAAAGCACTTTCAAACTTAGACATCTGGAGGTTCTTACATCCGGAAGAAAAGGACTATACCGTCCTCTCTGATAGACACAAGTCAAAATTGATATGATTGGGATCACTAAGAATTTAGTAAATCTTATTTAAACAGCTCAAATCCAGTCAAAGATTATTTCAGACCACTGCCTAACTACAACAGAAATCCCAATCCTGAGAAAAACAATTTATTTGGAAAATTAATGAAAGCCTTTTGAACAATCGATAAAATCTTGATCAATGTCAGAAAGAAATTAGAGAATTCTTCCAAATAAAATAGTCATCAAGGAACATCTCTGAGAATTGAATGAGACACAAGTAAAGCCTACATGGAAGGAAAATTAATCCAGCTAAATTCAATATATAGAAAATTGATTTAATTAAATTCAATACATAAAAAGGAAAGGCAGCAAAAATAAATGCATTGCAGGAGGAGATGAAAGAAAAAGAAAGACAATTAACAAAAGATTTAACAAATGTAAAACTCAAACAAGAGCCGAGACAACTTCACCAACAAGCCTCCATGTTAAAGGTGCATCAAATGGAAAACACTCTTACAAAGACAATACATTTTGCACATTCAAATGAATCAAATCAATCAAGAGGAGAGATGCAAAAGAGAAATATTCATATGTTAAAATGAATAAACAAGAAATAAAGGGAGAAATAAAGCTGGGGTGAAAATTGCTGGAAGAAACATTATCAACCTCAGATATGCAGATGACACCACCCTGATGGCCGAAAGCGAGGAGGAGCTGAGGAGCCTTCTAATCAAGGTGAAAGAAGAAAGCGCAAAAGCCGGGTTGCAGCTAAACGTCAAAAAAACCAAGATTGTGGCAACAAGAATGATTGACAACTGGAAAATAGAGGGAGAAACCGTGGAGGCCGTGACAGACTTTGTATTTCTAGGTGCAAAGATTACTGCAGATGCAGACTGTGGCCAGGAAATCAGAAGACGCTTACTTCTTGGGAGGAGAGCAATGTCCAGTCTCGATAAAATCGTAAAGAGTAGAGACATCAGACTGGCAACAAAGATCCGCCTAGTCAAAGCCATGGTATTCCCTGTAGTAACCTACGGATGTGAGAGCTGGACCTTAGGGAAGGCTGAGCAAAGGAAGAGAGATGCTTTTGAACTGTGGTGTTGGAGGAAAGTTCTGAGAGTGCCTTGGACTGCGAGAAGATCCAACCAGTCCATCCTCCAGGAAATAAAGCCCGACTGCTCATTGGAGGGAAGGAGACGAGAGGCCAAGATGAAGTCCTTTGAATGCCACATCATGAGGAGACAGGAAAGCCTAGAGAAGACAATTATGCTGGGGAAAGTGGAAGGCAAAAGGAAGAGGGGCCGACCAAGGGCAAGATGGATGGATGGCATCCTTGAAGGGACTGGACTGACCTTGAGGGAGCTGGGGGTGGTAACGGCCGACAGGGAGCTCTGGCGTGGGCTGGTCCATGAGGTCACGAAGAGTCGGAGACGACTGAACGAATGAACAACAACAAAGGGAGAACAAAAGTGTCAAGACCCAGATGCTTGCAAACAATGCCAGACACAAAATAAAGGTTCAAACACAGCTTTATTGAAAGCAAAAGAACCAAAAACGCACTTAACAGCAGTGCAGAAGGTCCAGTGAGTAATTTGGCACCAAAAATGAGTCAATAGGGCAAACTGAAATATAATCTGGATTATAGTGTAGACTCTTAATCCGGATTAAACTAAAAATGCAGCAATTCGTTTGAAAATCAAAACGGAGCACAAACACAGTCTTTAAAGCTGGAAAAACGTATTTTCATAACAAAAAGTAGTTAGAGTCACTAAGATATTAATAAGCAAAGTCCAGAAATCCTGAAAGCGAAGTCAAACCAGTCCGTGGTCAATCCAAAGTAGAGTGAAGCTGATCCTTTCAGTCAGGGGTTCTCAAACCTTTTCAGCCGTGGTAGCCAAAGTTTCTTGTGGAGCCCCAAGGAATCTTTATAGATGTCCTCCCAAACCTCCATGCAGCCTTTTGGGCACAGGGGCCGCGTTAGGTCTTATATATTGCCTGGGGAGTCCCTGCTCCCGAGCCTGACTGCCTCTGACAGGGACAAGAGACAGGGCCTTCTCAGTGGTGGCCCCTTGGCTGTGGAACTCCCTTCCCAGGGATATTAGACCACCCCCTCCCTCCTGGCCTTTCGGATAAAAGTGGAAACCTGGCTCTTTGAGCAAGCGTTTGGCGCTTCAGCATTACCACATAAACACAAAATCGTAACACGTAAGCGGATGAGGAATGGGTCTGGGAAACATGGTTTTTAAAATAGATTTTTTATAGTTGTTATAGCTTACTAGCCATCCCCTGCCACATGTTGCTGTGGCCTAGTTTTGTGTATATGTGTGTTTGCGTGTATATATGTCCCTCAATGCACTTTATTAGTGATCTAGGAATGTCTGCTCACCCCATTCTTTTCCAAAATTCTATCCTAGTTATATTTCACCTGGTCTTGCTCATTACATTTGGCCCAGCCATATTTTTAAATGTTATTGTTGATGTTTACTGCCTGTTTTTGTTTATGAGTTTTATTTCATTGTTTTGTATTACTGTTGTTGTTTTTGCTGATGTATTGTGGGCTCGGCCTCATGTAAGCTGCACCAAGTCCCTTGGGGAGATGGTAGCGGGGTACAAATAAAGTATTACTATTATTATTATTATTATTATTATTATTATTATTATTATTATTATATGTGGCTTTGTGTTATATGTGTCACTCATTGGTCTGATATGTGTCTTGTGTCCAAACAGGGTATCAATTCGTCCAGTGGTTTTCGAGTTATGTTAATCCCACAAACAAACATTACATTTTTGTTTATATAGAAGATAAGGTTTTTATATGTATTGATGATGCGATTTAATCGTTTTAACTGATCTATGTCTATTTCTAAGGCATCTAATGGAGTCCCCGGTGGCGCAGTGGGTTAAACCCTTGTGCCCGCAGACCTGAAGACCGACAGGTCGCACGCTCGAATCCAGGGAGAGGCGGATGAGCTCCCTCTGTCAGCTCCAGCTCCTCATGCGAAGGGGACATGAGAGAAGCCTCCCACAAGGATGAACATCTAATCATCCGGGTGTTCCCTGGACAACGTCCCTGCAGGCGGCCAAATCTCTCACACCAGAAGCGACTTGCAGTTTCTCAGGTCGCTCCTGACATGACAAAACAAAAGGCATCTTTAGATCTGCTCCCTCCCTCCTGACTTTCAGGAAACTAATAAAGACCTGGCTTTTGGGGACTGATCCCATCACCTTCGTCCACATGGAAGGAGGAGGATGAACTGTGGCTATGACTGTGATTGTAGGACAATTTGGCTTGGGTAATGAGATGATGATATTTTACTGTACTATTTTAATCTGTAATGTTGATGTACTTTGTTTTTGTATATTGTTGTAATTTGCATATATGCCGTAAACCGGCCTGAGTCCCTCGTAGAGGTGAGAAGACCGGTATAGAAAA